TGTTGTTGAACATCACATTCAGAATTGATCGTTGCTTTTCTTGGCTAAAATTACCAAAGGGACCCACGAAACGATGTTATATAGATGTTACAGATGTTCACCATTTGTTTCTACAAAAGCTACAACCACACCACTTGCAAAAGGAAAATGATACGACACTCCTTAGGATAGAAATCAGAGGTTCAATCTTTAAAACATAGAAAAAAAGTCAAAATTCTAAAAAAATAAGAAATAACAAGATATAAATAGTTTCCCTTACAGAAAATAACATAATTAAAAATAGAGAAATAGGAAAGACATAAAAAAATTTAAATTAGAAGTCAAAGTACTATTCCAATTCTTGTGGTCGCGGCCTTTTCGTGTCTTGCGAAACCTTCGGACCTCAAAAACTAGATTGCGGGATCCCTGGCGTAACGCTCCCATGTCATTCTCTCTGGGTATGAGAGGCTTCTTTTTCGGAAGCTTCTGAAATTGATCTACCACCATAACAAAGTCTTTGCACTGCTATTTTTGAGGGAGCCCCACTACGAAGTTTATGTTTATTTATCTAAGATAACTCTGAAACATGTACTTCCTTCCAAAGTTTGTCTTGATAAAATAGATAATTATCATTTTTGGCCACAACCAAAGTTAGAATTGTACTTGGATGAGTATTCTTACCAATAAAAAATTGAACCATTAAATTTGTATATATTTTTCTGCTAACTGGTTGAGCACATCTCATAAACAAGTATGTCTAGAAGAACCGACCCTCGAGTGAAACTTATGACAGTCTGGACCACTCTGAGTCGCGACCACTTAAGAGATAAACTATCAATCAGGATATCCAGAAACTTCTTCAGCGATGAGTGCCCCTTTTCTCGTATTAACTCCTCAGACTTACTATATTCTAGAAGAACCAATGTGAGTCATGCTGGTGTTTTTCTAATGGGCTTAGCTTGAAGGATCCGTCGAAGTACTAGCATCGCTCCCTTGTCGACTGGAAGCCTATACTCATATCTAATGTCTTTATTCTCTGCTGTGTCACTGCCCATTTATTTATTTATTTATTTTCTTGCTCAATAAATGAAACTATTCTCCTAATTGGGAAATCTGATGCAATGTGCCCAAAATCGTAATATTTGAAGTACTTTCTGGCTGTGATAGATTTGGGAGTGCTAGTGGGTTCCACATTTTCTCTACTCTGAATTGATTTATTCTCAAGCAGGATCAGTTTGGATGCTCCATTTGCGTTTCTCCATCTTCAAAGCTAGGGCCTGAACATTGAGTTGGATTAATACAGTTATAGTTACACCACATTACTGATAGCTAGCACCAGTTCTCTAAGATATCTCTCACTGTGTGCTACTTTGTTTCCACCAACTCACATTTCAACTTGAGTTGATCAAACTGAGCTATGCACTCGTCAAAAAGTATCTCTTGCATAGATTGTGGAGTTTTGTAAACTCTTCCTCGCGATAATATGGGGAAAATTATTTACGCCGCACCTCTTTTTTTATCTTAGACCAAGTCGTGATATTATTATTATTTTTTTCGTTGCAGAATATGTTTGAGTTTCTCCCATCTCAAGGAGGCATTCTCTTTTAACTTAATAATGGTTAGTTTTACTCTTCTTTCAGGCGGAACATTCTTGTAGTCAAAGTCTCATTCTATTGTCTGATGTCACTCAATGAACTCATATGGATTCAAGTGACTCTCAAACTCCAACAAGTCAATCTTCACTCCAATATCTTGGATTCTCCTTTGATATTTCATGTCAAATGTATGAGGCAACAACTCTTCTCCTAATGAAGCTTTTTGGTGTAATAGATTCACTTGATTCTCTCGATCTGATGAGTTAGTGGCTATGGGTGATCTCACCATGTTATCTTCTCTCAAAAATGGAATGATGTCTTTTTTTTCAATGGAAGTTTGGTTGGAAAAGGAAAATGTAATTTAGGGTTAGGGTTAGGGCTCAACGGGTGTTGTGGGAAATTTTTTAGAGGTATTGTGTTTAGTTATGTAGAGTTTTGGTTTGGGAGTAGAGAAGACAAAATCCTAAAAATTTGGGGTTGTTGAGCTTTGACACCTGATGATACTATTCTAGATCTCCTAGAAGATGTTTGGGAAAGGAATTTAGTGGGGAAGGGATTGAGGAATAGCATGAAAGTGAAGCCGTGGGATATCGACGGTATTTGGGAGGGGTATGAGGCGTTCAGGTTCAGCGTTGATCGTCGGTTGTTCTGGTTGAAAACAGCAAAGAGGCCCATGAAATGATGCAATATGGATGTTGAGGAGATTTACCACATATTCCTGCACAAGCTTCAAACATAATATTTTGGAGGAGATTTACCACAAATTCCTGCACAAGCTTCACTTTTTAGGGTAGAAATCAGAGATGCTATCTCTAAAACACAAAAGAAAGCCGAAAGTTTGAAAAAATAGGAAATAAGAAGATATAAATAGTTTCTTCAGAAAATTACCTATTTATAAGTAGAGAAATAAGAAATAAAATGAAAAAAAAAACAAGCTAAATTGGAAGCTGGTGCACGGTTCAAATTTCCACAGTCCTTTGAAACCTGCGAATCGTGGAATTCCTTGAAAATGTGCACAGGCCTTTGAAACCTGTGAATCGTGGAATTCCCTGAAAATGTGATCATGGGATCCCTGGCGTATCGCTCCCAAAAATACGACATGACATTCTTAAGAATTAATGACGCAACATTTTGGAAAATGAATATAATAATAATAATAATAATAATAATAATAATAATAATAATAATAATAATAATAATAATGATAC